TGTTGTCATCTGTTGGATTTAATTTTCAACTGTGTTTTTGTTTTAGGTCGTCATGGCGGGAAGGGAATCAGTTGCCCAGCAGTGACCAGAGAAAAGGGGCCTTGCCTTTGAAAAAGTATATTAAGTTATTCTTGTGCATGGCGGTATGGTTAATAATTAGACAATACTGGAGTACTTTTGTCATTTGAATTATTATAGAAAACTTACTTATGGACTTTACCAATTCAACTTTTGACCAGCTAATCCCTTTATACTAAATATGTGATTGTCTAATGCTCTGGGAGGTTGCCAGAGCCACAAAGGGACCTCGTAGTGCTGTTCGTACAATTGAGGTAAACAAAACCTTTGTAATGAATGACAACCCACCCATCAACAATTTCCTTTTCTTTATCATGACTCCTAAGGCACCTAAACCTAAGGTTGTTTAAATGATGATTGTTGGCTGCAGCAGAGTCATCTGTGAATTTCTAGGGTTGGCTTTTACGCGAGCCTTTCATGAGAACCTGGGTTTCTGGAAGTAGTAGCTCCTCAGTTGTTATCGAGAAAAGTGTGGGTATCATGTGACATGTTGAAGGATTTAATTTGCTATTTTATGACTAGTTTTGTTACCTTTATTTCTCAATGGATGGACATGCATTCAAGCAACCTGCAAATTAGTTTTTTTCAGTTGTTTAAAGGATGAACTTTGGTAAATTTGGCGAGTATTCTCATATCCATTAATTTTTATTTCCGTTGGTGGTGTTTTACAGTGGGCTCCGAACTCTTACCAAACCTTACAAGTTGGAGCTTGCCATATATTCTAATATGCAGGTATTTCATAGTTAACTATTTTTCCCTAGCATTGGCAGCACACAGAAGATAATATATTTTCGATAAAAAGAAGATATTTGAGACACTGAATCATTTTACATTGAAACGCATCTACTAACCAATATATGTTTGCCCTTTAACATAAGGACTTAGCTTTGTTCATTTAAATGGATTTGGGGGAGAGTGATTGAGAGGATTTGAAGGTAAATTTTTTTGTTGTTTATTTGAGTGAATTTGGAGGTAAATGAGAGTGAATTTGGAAGTAAATTTTTTTAATCTGTCACATCAATCAAATCCTATACTAATTCTCACAAACTTTATTTCCAAATTCACTCTCACTTTCCTCCAAATCCACTCAAATAAACAACAAAAAAATTTACTTTCAAATCCTCTCAAATCCCCTCAATCACTCTCTCCCAAATTCATTCAAAGTGAACAAGGCCTAGAGTTTATGCTTTACAGCTTTTACCATTTTGAAAATTCTTTACTGCTTTTATTCTTTTCATATCATTATATGAATTTTTATTTTTCACTAATTTTACATGAACCCTAAATAAGGAGGATGCAACAACAACGTTACAGTTATGCACGGTGAAGGCCAATTTACAGGAACACCCAAAGCCTACACCAGTCTGATCCGTCAGTTACAATTGTTGATCAAACTACTAGTATTCCCTCATACTATGCTATTTTTCCTTTCCTGTCGGGTTGTCAAACTCAAGATTTGGGTTAACTCATGGAAAATAGTAAACTTGAATCTAAACTTGGATAAGTTTACATGCTTTAAAAATTATCTAGAAAAATATATAGTAGTACACTACTTCAAATATATTTAAATGGAAATGCATAATTTGGGGGGGCATAATGTAAATATTGACTATTTACATTTTCATAGAAGAAAACAAAAAGTAATGAAGTAATGAAAGGAGGAAACATAATCTCAAGTCTGGGGACCCAAATGTCATATTACGTTGGCCCATTACTTTTTCAAAAAATTAGAAAACATAAAATTATCCTCATAAAATAAAAATAGAGCAAAAGGAAAATAATGGAGATAAAAAAAATATAAAATTAGCTTTATAGAGTCAATGCATCCCAGAGAATGGAGGCAGCTCAACTGAAGTACACAAGCTATGTGTTTTGACTGTGATAGATAATATATCTAACGTTCCCTCAAGCCAAATAAAAAATAATAATAAGCTAACTAAAGATAAAAGATAAATATTAAATAAAGGTAATATATCTAATAGAATGCAAAATTCCTATAAATCGCAATTTTACTTGAAATTGCATGTGAAGTTGTAGAAAAACTGTGGTTTATCTGATTAAACTGATTTTCGACAAAAGGTTCCTTGATTGAATTGCATGAGGTTGTTTGGATGGAAAAAAAAACCGAGTTTGTGCAAAAGATTTAAATTTTGTTTTTGATCAAAGATCTTAAAACTCCTTTGAGAAGAAAATATGAGACCTTAACTAGAGAGTGTGACAACCATGGTTTTTCATACAAAAAATGGTTTCTTCTTACTGGCTTTGACATTGTCTATTTTATCTGCTTCTGTCCAGAAACACGTGTTAGACTTGGGCCTGCAAGTGAGAATGACAAGCAACAAATTACATTTTTTTCTAATGCTTGCAAAGGAATTCCTCAGGTATGTCACACGTTATGTTCATTGATTCTATTATGATTGCTAGCTTTGCGGTGCTTAGATAGTAACTTTAAATCACTATTCTCTGAATTCTGAGTTTTTCTTTGGAATGTAGTTCGTGATGATTGTCTATTACTCAAATGGTAATCCCTAAGGAAAAGTTTTGATTCTTTTTTCCATGAAAAAAGGAAAGTAAGTCATTGAAGATTAACTTAATGTCCAATTGACGTGTTTTCTGAAATTTTTGGTTTAAGGATAACTTTTAATCTGTCAAATAGCTTAATTTCTCCCTATGATTGTTAAAGAGACAATGTAAATTGCATTTTCTCTCAAAATAGTTTGTTTTGTCATTGCTAATAATTATTTAAATTAGAGGGTAATTGGATGAATTTTGTTTGACGACAACCATGATAAAGTTTTATCCTACTAGGTGACGTTTCCTGCATAAAATGACACAAGCTCATTAGACTTGTTAAAATGATTAAATCTTCTATATAGTCACCATGAGATCCCTTTAACAGCTTAAATAATGTCTTTTCTTGGGCTCTCTCCTCTTTAATATGATTAACAACCATGGATATACTAAAAGATTCACACCCAGCATTTGATCTCTATAAATGTGATACTAAAAGATGGATACTTTTCTCATTGAAAACCACCAACGTTATTTTTTTCGACATCTATCAAAATATTAATACTATAATGTAAATAAGTTTTTGGGAAAGATTGATTCTATTTTGTTATTTTCCAGAGAACCAAAACATTGTGCATGGTGCAAACATTCTTTGCTTTCGTTTATTCAGAATGGTTCCCTGTAAACATTCCCTTATCATATAAATTCGAATCTTCGTAGCATTCGTAGCATATATTATTACAGCAATTTTCATTTTTTATTTCCTTTTTATCTATTGACAGACGTTTTTCTTTTGGACCAATTTCTATTTGTTCTTTTTTATCTTTACAAGAAATTTTGATTTTTCTCTCACCTTAGTTCATTTGTAACTCCAAAAAGGTTCACGAAAGTTGCAGATTAAGTTTTTTGAATTTTGATACATGACTGCTTCTCATTGAGTGGTGCATTATTCTTCCGATCTTCCAGGCAAGTCCGGCATTCTTGCAAAAAACAATGCGCCTACAGGTCCACCCCACAGCCGCCCACCAGCTGCAGAAAGACAAGAGGTAAGCTTGGCCATCAATGCATCCCTTCAGTCTGCCATCCAGGAGAGGCCATCCTTTCCTCATACACAACCAAACTCTGACGCAAGCTCTTCAAGCACTGCAGTGAATACAGGCAATCATGGTTTTCTTGGCACACCAAATTCAAATACAAGTGAAAATGAGTTGGTGCAAGAAACTAAAACTGGTGGCAATGGTGATCACCACCAAAGTCATGTCAATGCTAGTGAATTGGATTTCAATCCATCGGCTCCACCAATCGTGGGTGATATTCAACAGATGGCCCAATTTCAGTATCCATCAAATGATTAAGCCCTGTTGTTGATATGGCATCTTCAGATGTGGAGAAGCTTCCTAATGGAGGAAGGAAAAAAAACTGCAAGTGGGAAGGTGGCTCATCAGTGTTGAATATGTTTAGGATTGCTCCAGAAGAAGGGGCGTGACATTCCCTGTGCGTCATGTTGCCGGATTGCATGTCTTTGCTTGAACGAGGTGAAATCAAAAGAAATGCGGGTGCCCTGGCGTCGAGGCTAAGATAGACCAGATCATAAAGCTGATACCATGTTTGAGTTTGAAAACGGTGTGGAGAAGTTAGCCATGTTTGTGCATGTTATCTATAAATATTGGTTTAAAAATTGAAATTCGGAAATTTTCTGATAGAAATAAAAAAAACAGAAAAAGGTCTATATAGAAGAGTCCAAGTCCGACATGGGCGGCTTTGCTGAATAATATGTTAAATTTATATCCTTAATTCCTGTCGTGGGTGATTCAATTCAACATTAGCATTCTGGAAGCGTCAACTGTGGGAAGTGAGTGAAACTAGTGTATGGTTGTGCTGGATGGGGATAAATTGGGACAGGTGATGAGATTGCAAGAGAACGGGACAATGAGGGAAATACAGTGCGTCAAAGGATCATGAGGATTGGGGATTTGTTTCAAATCTCGCATTTTATGTCCCCGTTTAAGTTTGACTTAGTTCTCTTTCCTTTACTAAATTTTAAGCTGAAATCTTTTAAACATTTAATACGTGAATTTGTCGTTTTTTTTCTAAGAGGATCAAAATAAAAATAGTTATTATATTACCTAAAGGTTGTTGAAAAGTTCACCTTTCTAAATTTGCAGGTTACTTGGTGACAAGCTTCTTTTAAAATTACACTATTGTCTTCTGTGCGTGCATTTCAGAAAAGAAATGGTGTTTCTTTAAACTTATCTTTATTAATATAATAACTATTTATATTTGACATTAATGAATAGTGCCGCGAAAATAATAGAAATGAATTTGATATATTTGTTAAAATATTTTAAAAAAAATTAATCAAATTAATTATTTTTCTTGTTTTATATTATGTTAGAGATGTATTACATTACATAAGATTGAATGAAGTAGTATCTATATCTCTAACATGAAATGAGTTTCATTCAAGGTAATTAAGCAGATAAAAAAAATGTAAATGCATCTCTCTTCATTATAGGATTATATATATATATATATATATATATATAATATATATATATAGATATATATATATGTGTTGTTGTGGGTGTGTGTGTGTGTGTGTGTAACAACTTGTATATACATAAATAAAGATTATCTAAAAGATAATCTAAAACTTTATTAAAATAAATTGTTTTAGTATCTCAAAAAAAAGAACATTAGAATGTGTTTCTTTGACAATAAGAATTTGAGAAAGAATGAATGAAAGAATTTGAATAGATTTAGTTCTGAAATTTGTGTTGTTTAAAAGATGTGAAAATAAAAGTGCATAAAGAATACATTTGTCCTCTTCTATTTTTATAAACAGGAAATCCTCCCAATACAAATACAGTCTTAAAAAAACATTTATCCTACTGGTTATAAATTTTGTGATCATGGCAATACCTTAATACAACGAATAGAATCAGTACAAGTACATTAGCTATTCAACTACGACAATGAAAAATATTTAATTATTCTATAACAAATAGAATCTCCAATCATTACGTTCTTCAAATCTCTTATATTAATTGCGTCATAAAATGTCTAAACAAAATTGAAAGAAGACAAATTGATATCTTGATAATCATAACACCTATATAGCAAATTTTTTACATGAGGGATGGGTCCTCAGAATCCATCTTTAACAATTTGGCAGAATAATTAGTAGCTAATGAACTTTTCAAGTTATAGAGCTATCAATCGCCGACTAAACTAATTAAATTCGTTTAGCCTAAAGTCGAAGATTAAGATTAAAAGAAAGTTATTAGTTATATAGTTAAGAACATGAAATTAATATAAAAAAGTATAATGAAGATAAAAAAATGTAAAATAACAAAACTAATTTTTAAATATTGAGTCAACACATTTATTTTAGCATAGTTTGTTAGAGCTTTTTCTTCGTTTATTTATTTAATAATTTTTAATAGGATGACAAATGTTGATGTAATTGCAGTATCAACTTAGTTAAATGTATTATACTAACTATTTTTGGATACTGGAAGGTATTTATCGTAGCGGTAATAGGATTTTGTTTTAATTTAAAAAAATTATCAGTTAAACGAGTGTTTAAATACAAGTCAGATAAAAAAAAATAACGTGCAATTTGAAAAGTAAAGGCATGCATAGCTAAAAATAGAAAGAAATAAAATGATTTGTCTGAAAAAAAAACAAATTTAACTTGAGTTGCATCGAAATATAGTTTTAAAAAAATTACAAATATATGAAATTAAATTCTAAATAATTTTGTATTGTCATTTCTAATATCTCGATGGTTAATCTTGTCATCATGGGATGAAACTTGGTAAGATGAATGCGAGTACGTTACCAATGAGGAGCATTGGTATCTTGAAGCTACAGTGAAATTTTGATGATGATAAAAGCTGAAGAATTGAAGACTCTAAATGCATCTTTTTAAACGCATTTTTGTAGAAAACAAATGTATAGGAATAAAATGTAATGATGTAAAAAACTCTAGAAGTATTTCATATTTAGTGAGTCATTGCCAAATAACGATTATCAAGGTAATAATCGGATATCACAAGCAGCAGTTTGAGAAGAGAGTTGCTTGCGCAAATAATAGATTTTACAAAGAATAATCGTTATCACGTGTTTTATTATTCTGTCCAAGCATCTAGGAATAATCGATTATTGCTCGGATAATCGATTATTCACCATTTGAAAAACCCCATAACGGACACAAATAATCGATTATCACTTATATAATCGATTATCAGTGGCAGTTGGGAGATTGTCTTTTCAGTTTTTGACCCGCAAACCTAGGCTTATAAATGAGGTCTTCAAAACTCTTAGAAAAATATTCAATTGAGAGTATTAGAGCTTTGTGCCTAAGGAAGCTTCTGTGAGTGAAAAGGATCTATGCCATTTTGAGAATACAGTTTGTCTGAGGAAGTTCTCAAAAGGGATAGAGGCTCTTGCCTGGTCTTGTGAATAGGAAGAAGCTCGGTTTGTGTGTCAAAGGTCGGAGCGGTTCTCTTCAAGTTGGCTGAGCATGGTTCTTCGTTCGTTTGTCGAAGGAAGGGTGTTTTCTATTCTTTGCCTTATTTGTTATCTTTTATCTGCAAACCATATTTTTAGTGAGAAAAAAACACAGGTTAATCACTATCATAGTGATTAACGACTGGACGTGAATCTTTTGATTCGAACCAGGATAAAAATTCTGTGTTGATTTTCTTGATCCCTAAACTCTTAGCACATCATCAACTGTTCGACAAAAGTTTGCTAAGAAAATCAATTTTTGAAACCAACTATTTTAACTTGTGTTGTGATCGTTAAGCTTTCCGCTATTATATTTATTCCGCTGCGCGATTCTATAAGGTTAACCGATTTCTACAGAGTAGACATTAATTTGAGATTTCGACAATTTTGGGTTTAAAAACTAAGTGAGTTTCATCTTTTATTATTTTTAAGTCTTTTTGGTTACATATTGTAGTGTGAGGTTGAGATTTGCATGTCTCATCTCCAAGCTCTTGATAAACTTTGTTCAATTAAAATTGTATAGATATGATCATATCGTTGATCTGAGCTTCTGTTATACAGATAGGTTTTCCATGTGATTAAAAGTACTTAGAGGTAAAGAAATTTTATGTTTTGTGTTTATGAGTCACATAAGAGTTACTTATTTAAAATCAGTTGTAATATAGAATTGTTAATAACAAATTTTTAATTTTGTAACTTGTAATAAAAAATTTTTAATCTAACAATAATATCAGAATTAATGTCACAAATATAATTTGAAGAGGATAATAAACTGGAGAAAAATTGTTACATATAACATTAATTACACTTGTGTAGACAAAGAAATAAATTTTCCATATTCACCCAAACTCATCCATCTATATATTTGGGTCTATCTTTGAAAACAACTCAAGAGTGAGTACGTGTACTATATTACCCACTATTATCAATATTTTCTTAAACACAACTTTCATCCTTTGTGTCAAAAAGTTTAAACATTTTCATTAGAATTGTGTATGTGATAGTTTATGATTAGTACGTTTTAAATATACGAACCAATAAAATAATAACACATAATTAATTATTAAAAAATTACTTAAATAATTTGTTAATATACCATGGTCCTTCCATAAACTTTAGTGGAGGTCACTATTTTTTTATTAAGAAAAAGCATTATAATCGAACCTAGATTTCAGTAAATGAACTTCGTATCTGATGAAAAACAAAACAATGGACTGCATAAATGTGTATCTTGTATGATGCTTTTTTGACAAATAATAGTTATAAATATATCAAAAACAGCGATTTTTTATAAATATAAGAATATTTAAAATTTTTAGAATAATTATGTAGAAAATTTATTTTAAATAAAAAGTAACACTAAAAATAATCCATATTGGACAATAATGTCTTCATTGACCTATTATGATATTAAACTAAACTTAAAAAAATATTTGATAAAACTAAATTGAACAGTAAAATTATTTATATAAAT